CACAGGGGCGGGGCGGGTGCCGTGGGGCTCAGCTGGGGTGGGCTCCTCTCGGGCAGGTTCCCCCGTAGGGCTGGTCTCCCGTGGACGTGGCCTCGTGGGGCACCAGGGGAGGTCCCCACGGGGCAGGAGGCAGCAGAGGGGATGCTGCCTGTGGGGCAGGCAGGGCAGGCAGGGCAGGCAGGCCCTCCCGGGAGCCAGGCAGCCCCCGGCGGGGGGCTGTTGCCAAGGCCAGTCCCACCGCGGCCATGGGGCAGGCGGGGTGGGCTGCGGGCACCCCACCGGCAGGGTCCCCGGGAGGGTCTGTGGGTGGCCCTGGCACCCTCCTGCCCCACACCTCCCACCCACCCTGCACGAGGCATGCAGCACCTTGGCAGCCACTGGGCTACTGGCCCCTGCCAAGGCGCAGGTAATTAGCTAATCAGCTAATTGTCCCGCTGGAGAGCTGCCGGCCCTGCCAGGGCTTGGGCTGGCATTGGCACGGCCACAGCACCACAAAGTCACGCTGGCTCAGGGCTCTGCCCCACACCGTGATGCACCCCGGCTCCCTGCCTGCATCCTGGCTCCCTGCCTGCACCCCGGCTCCCTCAGGCAGTACCTGAGCTGCCGCAGCCTTGGCAAATCCCTGTCACCGCCATTGCTCTCCCCTCAGCCAGGCCAGCGGGGACATGTGGCACCTCAGGTCCCCAACGGCAGCACAGTGTTGGCAGCAGCACGCAGTGCCCCAGTCCTGCTTCCCTGCCACTTCTCCATCCCCAGGGCATCGTGCCCAGGCTGGGCTCACCGTGAGAGCATGGGGCATTTCTGGGCCCTAGTCCACCCCTCTTTGCTGCTAGGCTGGGTGCAGGCAGCAGGGCCGGGGGGGGCTGCAGCAGCCAGCTGAGCACAGGGGCCGGGGAATTTGGGCAATGCCGACATGCCAGACCCCACAAAGCAGGCAGGGCAGGCAGCTAATCCAGGGATTAACGCTGGGGAGGCTGCACGAGGGGGGAAGAGCCGGGCAGCACCAGAGCCCGTCGGGGCAGCCGGCAAGACTGCACTGTGGCAGGCACTACCAGCACTGGGCACCACCACAGCCGGCTGGTCTCAGGCTGTGGATGGGGTGGCCACAGTGCCAAGCGTGCGGCAGGGCTGTGGGGAGGGAGCCGGCTGTGCCCCATATACCGCAATTGTTGGTGTGCCTTTAGCACAAGGCACGGGTGCAGCAGCCACCTCCACGTCCCCAGTGCTGTCAGCGGTTTCCTCCTCTGCCAAGTGACTCACTGGCAGATGAAAAGATGAGCATCCCGCTCCATGCTGCCGCAGCGGCTGCCTGCCTGCGCAGCTGGGGACACTGGGCAGAGGATGTGACCTGTGGCCTCACACCCCTCTGGCCACCTGGGTTCCACTGGCTTTTGGCCACTGTCCTATCCCTTCTCCTGGGCTCTCCCGCAGGGAAGCAAGACAAAACCCCAATTTAGGAGAAAACTGCCCCAATTAAGTGCCCACAAACAGCCTGGAGCCCAGTTTTGTATTTTCATGACTGCTATGTGTGTTTTACAGCGCTGCCCCATGTCCTCCACAGTCCCCCTCAACTGTGCTGCTGGGGGGGCATCTTCCCTAGGGGCCTTATGTGAAGGGTGGCATGAGACCCCCACAAACACAGGTGCTGGCAGCCCCACGATGGCAAAGGCCAGGAGAAACCACATGCACAGGCCACCACGTGCCTGGCGGCATGGCTGGCTCTGGCAGGGAGCTGGAGATGGTGAACTTGGCGGCCTCGTGCACTGGGAGTATGGGCTGGGAGACAGGACCCGCTCTGCCGGGCTGCAAGCGCAGTGCCATGGTAAGGCTGCTGTGTTCCGCAGGAGCACGGTGACTCCTGGTTGGGGATGCCAGCCCTGGGCCCCACAGTAGAGCTGGCAGCACACATGCTTCTTCTGGTTTTGTCCAGCAAGGCTGGGAGAGGAGCCGCCATCGTCACGGCCATATTGGGACAAATACTCTTGCTGGCAGCAAAAAACCCAGAGGAGACCCTCAGTGGGAACAGGTGTGGGACTGGGCCATGGGGGTCAGGGTGGCACCCGAGAGCTTCCCCCCGCTTCCCCGGGGAGGTGGCCAGCGCGGGAGGAAGCACCGCTGGCCGCTGTTGCCATTACACCTCCTTTCTCCGGGGACTTTGTTCACGCCGCTGCTGTCTGCCATTGTGTTCATGCGGTGGGGGGCTGCGGGGGTCCCCAGGGCAGCCCTGCATTGCACCCCACGGCACGGGTGCTCCATCCTCTGGGAGCCGGGGCCTGCTCTGGCTGAGCACAGGGTCTTGCGGCAGACACCTCCAGAGGTCCCTCCAAGCTCAGCCATGTGCTGCCGAGCTCCTTGCGGTGCAGCCGGGGCTGAGCGTCCAGGCCGGGGGCTGTGCAAAGGCCTGTGTCCGTCCCTGCCGACCCCGAAACACAGGGGTGGCGAGCCCCACTGAGCAGGTTTTGCCCAGCAAAGACTGTGCTGGGGATGCTGGGCAGGGGCAGGTAAAGGAGGGCAACGTGAAATGAACGGCTGCTGCTAGCAGCCATCACCTGGCCCCTCTGCTGACCTGAGGAGGGGGGGGTCCCCAAGGCCTCGGGCACTCCCCACACCTGCCCCTGCCGCCTTCTCCTTGCTAATTAACATCACCAAACCAACGTCAAACTGGAAGGGCTGAGGTTTCTTTCTTTAAACATCAGAGAGGAGTTGAAAAAAACAAATCCTCCCAGTTCCATGATCCGGGGGAGTTAAAGAGCTGAAGAGCAGCCGCCTGCTCACCCACTGAAACAGGACCTTGCCTCTCCTGAAAAACCAACACAAAGACACTGGACTTTGGCAAAGATAGAATGAGTTTATTAAAGCCAGGAAAAAGGGATCCCAGTCTTCCCCCTCAGGACGACAAAGCTGGACTGGTTGGATTCGTGGCAATAGACCTGTTTTGGCAACACCGAAATGCTTCTTTTGCTGGTAACATCTCAGATAAAAAATCAAACGTGATACAAATATCTGAAGCAGTGGAAGCTGCTGATAGTCACAGCTGGGTACCCTGGAAAGAGTTGCTTTGCGGGAATTGGGGCTACCCAACAATCTCGCTGCTGTATACACCAGGTGAGGTGAGCAGTGAGCAGGCTGGTCCTTTCTGACTTGAAAATTTTGGAGCGACTCCTCACTAGAGACGTGCAGGTTTCTGAAGGACAAGAACTATTCATCAGTGACTTCATCTGCTCAATTTGAACGTCACATCTTTTGGTTTCTGTTTGAGAACCACTGCCCTTGAAAAGTGTATGATGTTGGACCATTCCTTGATGAGCCAAGAGATACAAGAGCCAAATAAAGTAGAAATTAAATAATTTCCTGAATTTTCTGAAACCAAGAAATTTCAGCCTAAAAGGAGAAATGCAACAGTTGATGAACCTGAGATGTTGGGATTTGGTTTTCCTCAGCTAAACTTTTCCCTCTCCAACGCTCACAAACAACTCCTGGGACAAATCCGAACCTTATCGAAATCAACCAGAACAATGCTACTACTGCCTAGGGAGCTAAAAAGCCGAACTTTAAGACATACAAACCAACACAGAGACTACGAGTGAGAAACAGAGTAAAGCCTCTGGCCACAGAGATATTATTACATCTATCTAGTTGAAAAGTTTCAAGTAGATCTCAGTGCTAAATCCGATTGAGCTGCCTGTCTGTGCTCTGCCAGCCCTCTCCTCCCCGGTGAACGTCGGCAGACTCCGCAGGTACTTCCCTGCTACTTAAATACAACAGTAATCGGAGCCCGTGGCGTCTCTGTGAGTGGGAGGATAAAGCAATACAGATCCCACCAGCTTTCCAAGTCAGGGGAGAGCTTCCCCTCAATATCCCACGTAGTCCCTTACAATATATCAAAGTGGGC